GAATGGAGCGATACTAGTCACCGAGGAGCACCGATGCTCGGGTTGAGAAACTGGATCTTGGCCGCCACGCGTAAATGTATACGGCTGCGACTTGCCGTGAAAAGTTGAAAGTACCGCATAAATGGAGGCTATACATAATTTACGATGTCCTTGCAAATACCGCGGTAATGTGCGTTACGAGAGGCGGGAAATTCTTTCAGGTGGGCTTCGCCCATTCAATCCTTGGACGGTCAAGGCCCTTCTGGATCTAAAAATAAGAGATCTATGCGAAACTATCATTTTCTTGCGTTGAAAGTGCTTCCTGTGGACATTACGAATGGCGATTTACAAAACCATTAAAGAAGCCATTTGCTTAATTCAGCGTTGGGTCATTAGCTCACTTAAAGACGTCTCTTTTCTCAATTCTGTTAACTCTGGTTTCCCAATATCTCGCACGCGAGTCTGCCACAATAATGTGTATACTAACAACACATGCCACAATAATGTATACATTGACAACGAGAAAAATGTCTGATTGGATTAACTGGAATTCTAATTGAAAATGGATGAAACAGACATTAACATTTCTTGTTAAATCTACTTTCGAAATTCTTTGGAATGGAATCTCACTCTAAACAGCGAAAATTTAGCCAGTTTTGAAAAAGAGTGGCTCAGTTTTCAATCTTTAAGAATGACTTTATTTTTTAGAGAGAGAGAGAATAACAATTATTTAAAAGTTTTAGAGAATACTAGAATTCTGATGGAAATAATTGAAATTCTAATTAATATAATCAGAATCTTCTGGTTCGTCCATTTGCAATCAGATATTTTTCTCACTGTATCGCAAGCTCCCTTCTAACTTTGTGCAAACGTTCAGCTGTTCAATAAAGATCTCAATATAATAACACGAGCTAATCCATAAGGCTGTGTCATAAATTCTTATCACATCCAATCGCTCTCTCTTTATATACCGAGTCGATGGATCTTTCGATTCGCTGGTTCGTTAGCTCCATAACAGTTACGTTTCCGGGATCATCGCATCGGTATAAGTGAGTGATTGCCGACTTTCCTGACCTCGCACTCCGATATCTACCTGCAGTTCCGTGCTTCTCCCGATTAATGGATTCGCAGGGAATAGGAATCGTCGACCGGTTGAAACCGCTGTCGACAGGAGACAAGATCTACGACGGTCGATCCTCTACGAAACTCCACTATGTGCGGCTACCTAATGAAAACTCGTTATAAAACTCAATTACACGAAGAGTGTCGCGTGACTTATCGATAAAACTAACTCTGTGGTCTACTTAGCAACTATTGCCCGTTTCTACCAATGTAGTTTAACTTTAATCTCAGTTCAACTAACTCTTCATCTTTTCCTAGTTCTAAGAATTGGAAAAAGATGGAGAGTAAGTTGAACTGAGATTAAAGATAATCTGCATTAATAGAAATGGACATACATGACATATTAGAAAGCTATTTCCAATCACCCAGATAAATTAGGACAAATTCGAGGAAGAGAAAGAAAGGAAGAATGAGAGAGATCACGTTTTCCCCACTTCGTGTTTTAGAGAGCTTCGAATCTCGAGACTTGTGGCTAATTAACGCGCAAAATTTGATGGTCATCTGTATCCTCGGATCTCTTATCCGAGAGGCAATCGAGATTTTAATCATCAAAACGATACGCGACTCATTTGTCAAGAATCCGTCGGAGGAACGCGAAAGACATCATCTTTATCGCAGGAAGCAAGAACAATGGTGCTTTCCAGCAAGAAATAAATGTAAGGACATAATAGAAGAAATAAGGAATAACGATTTCAATCTATGATTTCAATCTATCGGAAATCGGATACACCAGAATCTGATAGTTGGATCAGTTTCTAATATCGTTATTCCTTATTCCTTCTATTTTGTATCTCCATCTTAACACAGTGATCATTTCATCTTTGTTTAACATTGGCAAATAATAAAGATGTAATGATTCAATGAGTTACACTGTCATTTGTGTCTCTTGCTGGAAAGCACCCTGAATCATATCCGAACAATCGCATTGTTCTGCACAATTGCTCTTATCCAGAGGATATCGCAAGTCCGTAGGTCTGTTCGCGTTGCTTGCACTTTTGCACTCAGTATCTTCGTATTCTCTGTCTTCGATGCCCGAATATATATTTATCTCATTTTAAGTGCAAAATATTTGGAAATTTCAAGCAACCCTAACAGATCTCATGTCGGACGGATTTTTTGCCACCCAACGACGGTAAGGACTATTCTACAAAAGGAAAATCGATGGCACGAGTGACGACATCTACACGGAGAGAATTTTTTCTTAGAGTTTATCTTGAAAATATGATAGTCGTGAGACAACATTGTATTTCGAAGAATTTTAATGTAAATCTCTCTCATTTATTGATAAAACAATAAAGTATAAAATAAGTTTGATTAATTTTACTGAAGTGCATGATAAAAATCTTTAAAATATTGTACTGTACCACAACTACCATATTTTCAGGGTAAATTTTAAAAGAAAATTCTCTCCGTGTAGAAAGTTGACGTATGCGTGTCACTCGTGGACGAGACGTGCAATTTGTATGTACAGTAAACAAGCTACGATCGACGCGGCAAAGAGGGAAACAATTGGGACAGCGTCTAAGAATCGCGTAATCCGAAAAGAAGCGTTGACTGGCTTCGCCGAAGGTATCGACCGTTCCGCGGTATCGGGAAGTGCTCCGATTGAGCTAATGGTAGGCCGCCTCAAGGTCGTAAGAAACATACTCGGGGAAACCGACGAGATATTTCAAGGAAACGCCGCCACTGATCTGTAACACGCAAATATCTGATGCTACGAACCAGGAGTAATGCCTAATTTATGCTTCGGTCTTAACTCTAAAATCCTAAAATTCAGCCAATGAAATACAAATTTCAGTTAGGACTAATTAAGACTGGCAGCCTTAGTGGCTGAATTTTAGGATTTTAGGGTTAAGACCGAAGCATAAACCAAGCATACACCGAAGGGGTAATCACTTAATGTAATCGTGGGGTAGAGTCCCCGAAATCATAAAATTCATATGAAACCCCGATGTATGATTCGATAATTATATATGCAACTACGAGAAATAATTGTGTGATATTAGACAAAATTAATTATTCCACCGAATGACTGTATATATAGTGAAGAAAATTATTTGTCATCAGATGAAATCGTACGAAATCAAATGAAATCGTGTGATCTGTGGGACAATATTTCAGCTAGTGGTTACCCCCTCGGAGTAAACACTTCGACTGCGGCATCCCTCTCGACTGGGCTGTGTTCAGAAACTTCATTTCGGTGCCTTCACGTACTATTTAATCCTTTATAGTAAAAATCTCACTCTAAACAGTGAAAATTGAGCCACCTTGTTTCAAAACTGGCTCAATTTTCAATCTTTTTTTTTTAAGAGTGAAATTTACTTTAAAAGTTTTATGCCCATTTCCACCAACATAGATTAACTTTAATCTCGGTTCAACTCATCTTTTTCTAATTCTTAGACCTAGAAAAAGATGAAGGGTAATCAAGATTAAAGTTAATCCTGGTAAAAATAGGAATTAACGTAACATTTGGTGAATGAGAGTAAAACGATACATGAATGCACCCGGATAAAGTTTCCGAAACGCAATCTAAGAGATAGATAGAATGGAGAGTAACAGAGAGAAAGAAAGAGAGAAATTTAATGCGATAGAAACGAAGAAATGGCATCGGCGATCGATGATGGAGCCCCGAGGTCTCGGGCTCGCTTCGCGCGTCCTCGATCGACAGGTAGACAGAAACAAACACACAGAGAGAAGAGAGCGAAGTCGCAATGACAGCTGATCGTACATTATCGGAACTGTCTGTCAAAGTAGCTCACGCGTCGTCGCGTATCGTGCGTCTCGTCCACGGAATAAAATAAGGATGCTGCGCCGTCGCCGTCACCGAGACGTCTCTCTCGGAGAAGGTTGCTGCGCGACGCGCGACTGACGACGATTGTGACGCGAGGCCTGTTCGCGGAGAAAATCAATTCGCGTCTGGTGACGTGCGGCGCGCGTGTACATCGTCCACGGACGACAGGTCCGGACCCTCTTCGCTCTCTTTTTTTTTTCTCCCTCACGCGCGCGCGACAGTCGCGCTCCGAGAAGAATCCCCCGAGACGTCGATGACGGCGACGGTGGCCGATGACAACGGTGTTCGGAAGCGTCGCGAAGACGAGAACTTCGACTTCGATGTCGACGTCGGGCGCGCGCGCGCGCACGCCCGTTCGAACGACAATCAACGCGATTCTCGTGCCGACGTTTCGAATGTATCGAACGCCGCCGCGACATGCGGGATGATCGTTTGTTGTATATCGTGCACGGCCATTTTGCCAGAACCCGTCACCCGTCTGTGACCGCCGCCACCACCGCTACCACCACCGCCGCCGCCACCGGCCCTCGCTTTCGATGCTTCCCCCCCTCGAGATTCCGCGCCCCCGGGGTTACCTTCGTATGTTTTGCAATCCGTAATCAAGCCCTTTGAGCGAATACTCACGTCTGTTTCACGGAGCAGCAATAATCGTAGGACAGCTTGAGTGTGGAGCGACGACGAAGATTTATCGCGTGAAAACCGGGACGACCGCCAACTATCGGTGAACACCTCGGGATCACTTCTGCGATCGGACTGGCCCCCGCAAGGTGGCGTCTCGCGTCTGCGCACTTCCGACGCATGCGCGGCACCGTCGTCCGAGTTTCCACTGAATTTCGGACCGTTTGAACGATGCTGGCGCCGTTTGACGATACTTCGCGGAATCACAGTTTAACCATGCGTTGATAATCACAACTAGGACGGTAACGTTAAAATCATAGTTTTAAATAAAATTCGAGTATTATCGAGTATTGTTGTTTTAAATACATGAACATGTCTATGAAATTAATAAATCATTAAATTAATACTATGCTATCAGTTTCTTACTTTTAACTTTTAACAAGGACGTAAACTCCCGTAAAAATGTCAATTTTTAATCTGGTCGGTGGTAGTCGTCGGTAATCAACTGCAATGTGGTCCAATGGGACGCTCACTGATAAAAATCTGTTTCTCAGGTCACCTGCGAAGGTTAAGTTTAATAATAATATAACCTGTACGCACGATCGCGTTGTTTTAAATTTTATTGAATTGTTTATGTAAATTTTGATGGCTTTTTCACAACCGAACGCAAGAGGTAATTCTAATGAGAATTCAATTACTTTCTTATTTTATATTTTATACATTTTTCACATTTCTCACTTTGCTCTTATTTATAGAATTACAAAATAGAAAGATCTTAGAAGAGCTGCAGCTGAAGAAGCAGATGCTTCTGAAACAGGGAGTCGCACCAACCTTAAACACGTTGGGAGTCTCGTCAACTGGCTCTGTATCAAATATAGTAAATATTCTTTGTCAATGATAATTAAAGGAATATTCCTGTTTCATTTTTTTTTTTAGCTAAATTTCTTGTAACATTTATCTTTTTTCTTTGTTTTTAACATGGAGATAAAAAAAGGAAAAATGAACTGTGCAAGAAGTTTAATTGCAAAAAACAGATCTCTAGAGGTATATAAATTTTTCATAGGCTGCAACACAATCTAATGATGGAGTAGCAATGAGTGCGTCAGCAAGAGCAGCATTGCATAATGCACATGCGGCATCGTTCGGTTATTTCGTTACGCAGGACTCTTCTTTTGGGAATCTGATATTACCAGTTCTCCCTAGGTTTGATAATAAATGAGTCATCTCTTCTAAATGTATAAACGCATAGACAAAAATTACTTGACTATATGCCAACAACATTGACAAGAATCTTTTATGTTAAGGAATTAGATTGCCTTTTTATATAAATATTTGTTGTAACAAGAATCTGTTGAGAAATCACAGTCTTTAAGTAGATAATGGCTGGAATTCGACTTCGTCAATTAGAAGAATATCTACAGCAACTGGATGTGTTCGAAAATCCAAAAGTCACACTCGAGCAGTATGCCACCAGTGCGCATATTGCTTCACATTTGTTGTACACTGCACAATCGCAATTTGACGATATAAAAGGTAAAAGCGTGGCTGATCTAGGTTCTGGATGTGGCACATTGTCGTTAGGTGCCAAGATGCTTGGTGCTGAATATGTAGTTGGATTCGAGATAGATTCTGAGGCAGTTGACATACAATACAGAAATTGCAGTGACATAGAACTCTTTGTCGAAGTTGTACAGTGTGATATACTGCAATATTTACCAGGTATCTATATATATATATATATATGTATGCTATATATATATATATATACAG